TATATGTCTTCTTTTTGAATGAAATGGGTCACAGGCTGCAGGACCTCTTCTTCTGCATCAAGACTGTTGAACAATATAACAGAACGACTTCCAGTCCATGTTATGGTGCAGAATTGTGAAAATGTTCAGATTTTCAGTGCTCAGTCTTGACCTCTGAGGGGATAAGAACTGAACACACTTGTAGCTGGGATGCACATGAACGTTCTGGACAATTTTGAAAGGAGTGGGATTTCTTCCACATGTTCCTTCCACCAAGCCAGTGGGTCAGTGTCAGCACTGATTGGCAAGGACAAGTACAGTTTCACCTCAGAATCTACCCTTTCTTGTGGCGATGAAGATTGATTTGCTGTTGCTGCTCTGTTCTGTCTTGCACTGGTCATTTGCTGCAACAATCCAGATAGACTTTTGCCTTTCTTCTTGGTGATGGAAGAAGTGCTGCGGCTCCCCTCTCCTTCTCTATTGTCATCACCTCGTGTGGCGGCTGCTGGAGGCTGTTCTGTGTGTGAAGGGTCTTCTAGTCAGTTTTTATAATGGCAGTCAAAACGCTCTCATTTTCACCTTTAGTCATTAAAAACTCATCATCTTAACCATTGTTGCATATTTAAGCTTATCTCACTGTTTCCAGCGCCTTTGTGCATGCTGAGACACTTCGATTTGCTGCAACAATCCAGATAGACTTTTGCCTTTCTTCTTGGTGATGGAAGAAGTGCTGCTGCTCCCCTCTCCTTCTCTATTGTCATCACCTCGTGTGGTGGCTGCTGGAGGCTGTTCTGTGTGTGAAGGGTCTTCTAAGTGTTGCAGCTTCATCCACGCATGCCTTCACTGTGTCATCAAGATTCTCAGCTAAGTTTCCCTTAAACCAAGGATCCACAAAACAGGAGATGTTCAGCACTATTTTCATTCCCTCTGTTTACCTCAGCTGTAACAGGTCTTCTGCTTCATCTGTTTGGTGAGAGTGCTGTCTTCCTGATCTGTGAGTATTTCACTGTTGATGTGCTCCATGACTGGCTTCACAGAGATAAGTGTGACTCGTTTCTCAGAGGCCAGGACATCAGTGAACTCATGGAGACGGCTCAGGAACTGGTTTACATCCTTCAGGACACTGATATCATATCATCTTTGGGCGTGAGATGCAATGTACTTCTGTCTCCAGCTAGCACTGCACAGACGGCCTGCTGCTGCTCCAAGAATCTAGAGATCATTTCAAAGGTTGATCCCCACCCCGCATGCTAAGGGATGTTCAAGTCTGCTTGTTCCCTCTTCAATTCTCGTTTCTTCTTCCAGCTTCGAGAAAATCCCTAGACCAAGAGTTGGCATGCCCTCACAGCAGATTCCACCCTCTGAATTTTGAGGACTTTCTGTCTTCATCTTCCAGTCGTGGAGCACGTTTCCCACCATTTCAGCAAAATTCTCTGCTCTGTACTCATCTGGAATATACAGCCTCTCAAGGCAGTGAGTTTTCAGTTGCCAATCAGAGGTTACATACTGAACAGTAAAGCTTATGTAGTGTTCTCCACCAACAACACCACCACTGCTGGTCCACAATTTGTTGTTGCACCAAACCATTCACCTTCTTCCAGCTGTTTCTCCACACTGGCTCTCACCTCCCTGTACATCCTTTGGATTTCATTCGTGGAAAAGTATTCTTACTAGAACTTGTTATTATTATTATTCAAATATTTTTATTGGGTTTTGAATTGTAAACACTTATAGACAATTAACAAGTCCCCAAACAGCAACCCCAACATATACAATAATAATAAAGTGACAATAATGACACACAAAAAAAAAA